AATCCTTTTGCAACATGAAAGGTTGACGGCAAACATAGCCAAATCCTTTTGCAACATGATTTTGTGCTGTAACTAATTTGGAATAAGGGCAAAAAGATAATGATGTACCCATTCACTTTATTTCTTTTAATTAATCCTTGCCCAATTTTATGATTAATCTACGCAGCTGTGCCCTAAATAGGGATAGTAAATAATTTATTACTTTCCTCACCCTCAGGCGATATTTCTCTCACAAAAGCAAATAATTTTATGACCTTTATTTGTCAAGCTTTATACCCTACGAATATTTACTTTACAGATCCCTACCTAATGTCTGGCGTCTTCACAATAAATACACGCACGTCATGCCTTTATCCCTTGCAGGGTAGGCAGAACATAAGCGTTTGTAATAATACAATCAACACCTTCGCGTCTGACTAAAATATTAGAGGGTTTCAGATTTCTAAGCTTCTAGTGAGGCTTCTAGAGAGATTCTTTTCGCAAGTTTCCGCGTCCACAGATAATAATAAATTGTTTCAAAATTATAGAATACACTTTTAAATATATCAATTTGTGGAAGTGGCTACCAGCTTTAACAAAGAACTGGCAACTTTAGCCAAAAAGTATTTTGACGGATGCCATAAAGTTATGAAAAAAAAGTAGATTTATAGGGCCTTACCACAAAAAAGTTAGACCAGTGTTGAACGCGTATCTAAAATAAAACTTCATACAAAAAAAACGCTAGACACGCGTTCAACACTGGTCTAACTTTTTTGTGGTAAGGCCTATATGACTTATATTTTTTGTCGACATGTCGTTTGTGCCAGGATCTTGTATTTGTGGAATACACTTTCAAAAATTAATTTTTGGAAGTGATTACAGGTTTTACAAACAACTGGCCACCTTTAGCAAAAATATTATTATTAAATGCCATTAAATGAAAAAAGAAAAATAAATATTTTTTCGCGTCCTGTTATTTTGTGCTAAGGTACCTATTTGTGTTTCATAAAGCGTTACTTTTTTCTTTTTTTTTATAATTTTACGGCCGTCTACGAACTGCTTACCACACAAGGCTTAAAGGCGTGATGTATATGTATGCCGTCTCTAAGCCTATTCAGGAATGCCAGCATATTGTAGCGCGGCCTGGAATCTTCAAATAGCTGCAGTGCCATAATCAGCTAGGCAATACCGCAGATATGTAATATAGGAGTGCTAGACATAATTTCGAAATTCAGTGTCTATAGGTAAAAAATTACAGATATGTCGAAGATAAACGTTGAATAACGAGCCTATTTATATTTTTAGCATCCTCTAGGATTTTGTTATCATTAAAGATAATATTTAAGCTTGTAAATTCGATCTCATTATAGTCATTACTCATTATAATACAAATGTGCGATTATTTAATATGTCATAATAAAACAAACAAAACATCCCCAAGAACAACTTCAAGTTGCTCGCTCGTTAAAACATTCTGTTGTACGAATTGTTTGTCACTTGTACGATCCTCTTCAATAATGGGTTGTTTCACTTTGTACCTTATAACGGGAACTTTCTACGGATTATCAAGTGTAGAGGGCGCTGAGCCAAGTGGTAGTAACTTTTCTTAACACAGAAGCACAAAATAGAGAGTTTACAGAAGGTTCACTCGACCCTATTTCAGATTTTCGCGATTGGCATTTGTTACATAGCCAGGGTTGCTACTGTCAAAACTCTCAAAGTATAAAAATACCAAAACAGCTAAATGTGATAAAGAGCGTCATACCTTTGATTCTGAGTCAATTTTAAATCCAAGAAATATGACGTTCGTGTCAACCACTACCTTGACCTCCCTTGAGATTCCGGTTATTTCCAGTTAAAATCAGTAAGCGTCAAAATCGTTGCGAGTACTGAGTGAGCAATCTGGTTAGGCGGACCGCGCGCCGTTTCCCTAAATTGTGCAGAAAGTCTGTACCACTTTAATCTTACTTTATATTTTGTGTTTATTCCTAATTGTTTCAAATCTTATAATAGTTTTCTGTTAATTAACATGAATACTTAGTAGTAGGTAGGTAATTCATTAGTAATAAACACAACGTGACAAAAGCATGGACAAAAGCCATATTGAATTTTGCTGATTAGTTGGTATAACGTCAAATAGCAACTGAGCACTACTTCCTCTGTGTGAAATTAAGGCACTGACTCTAGAGTGTCTGTGTTTTATGAGCAAGCAAACGGTAGGAGTAAAAGTAAGGTTACTTTCTGGAATTGCTGTCTATAATTACCTATACGGCGGTCGGACCATAGCCATGTCAGTCATTGTCATGTTGGATGTCCCACACGGAAATAGAAGAAGAATCAATAAAATTTATAAAAAGTATACAGCGACCTTGGGGACAGTAATTGTTCCTTATCAAAAGCCGGTTCTAAGTTTCCGCTATCGGTCACTAGTAAAATTTTGCTCAGTATAATTTTATCGAGACAAAAGATAGCACTGGATCAATAGCCACACACACACACCGATAGAAAATTAAGTCGCGTAGATAATCGAGTTGATCGATAAATAATAAAAAATTCCATCCTCAGTAATATTGCTAAAAATAAGGTAAACCAGTTTTAGAAACTTGGTCTTTGTTTGTTTCATTTTGAAAAATTATAATTTACAAGAAATAAAAAAGAAATGAACTCTGTGAAACTAACCATTTTCAACAGTCTTTTTAATGGCGGACTGCAAGTAACTACAAAGATTTTCTTTAGAACTGTTTGTTTGTAACAGATGTTGAAGCTGCCTTTTATGAGGTAAAGTTTTCTCTGTAAAGTTCCTAGAATTTATAAAATTTATTGCTTTGAAATATCGAAAATGCTTTTGCTAACAGTATTTCAGTTTAACTATTTGAGGGACCAACTTATTCTGGTTTTCTTTACAGTAATAAAAGATAACCAGATAATTTGACCTTTGAATTATGTAAATAGATAGAAGTAGTGCTGAGTTACTACAAACTTTCATACATTATCTCTTCTAGAAAGTGTAGAGTTATACAACTTTTCTCTGTGGTGTGCTCTTTCAATTCATGTACCTTCGTTCTAAATCATACAATTTCCAAACGATACCAACTAAAAATAGCATCAACATCACATTTCTATTCTATCTTCTACACGTGGTTGTTCTCATACATAACTGAAGGGATAGCAAACACAACACCTTGCACTTTTCTCACCCCCGAGTCTCACCCACTCAAAACAGGATGTAAAAATATGCACGTAGGCATTTGAAGGTTAATCAGTCCATGAAATTGAACCAAACCATTTTCCCTACAAAACATGGGTCAAAATCTGAAAAAATAAAAAATTTGGCCTTCCCGTATTAACTGATCTGGCCGACCGACACATTTTGTATAGGAGAATATTTTTTTTTTTCGTTTTAGAGCTAGTGCCTTAGAGAAAGTTGTTCAGTTTTATAAACCGTTTCACCTCTTAAAATATTTGCAGTATCTTTTTTACACCATATTATTATATAAGTAGACCTATGTCCAGCAGTGAACTTTTGTGTCTGATAACGACAGTTTCAATTAATAATAAATCACGTAAGGTTTGACCACATCCACATAAACTTTGTAACATTCGAGACTCAAGTAAACCTTGGCAAAGCCAGCTAAGGCAAAAGTGCTAAGTTTGTGGTGAGACACGTTAAGCTCGTATAACGGAGTTTTGCGGTTTGGAAACTATCAGGACACAATTGGATTTTTATAAATCCTACTAATATTATAAAGGCGGATGTTTGTGTGTGTGTTTGTTACGACATCACGCTAAAACAGCTGATTAGATTGACATGAAATTTTGCACAAATACAGAAGAGTATCTAGAATAACACATAGGCTACTTTTTACCACGGGAAAATGTCTTATTCCTATGGGATCACGCATATTTCAATATTTTTGCATAGGTGGCGTGACTGAGCCGATTCGCGTTTTAAATGTTTTCGCCGAAAACTAACAGCGACATCTCTTGGCGAGTAATGCTTTTTTCCCGCGGAATAATAGGTTGCAGCGGGTATAACCGCTGACGGGCAGCTAGTTATTATATAAAACATTGTGTTAAAACATTCAACGATTAAATCTAAAGACTGCCAGTTGGTTATTATCAATTTTACAGTGGCATGTACGAAAATAATTATGGCGTTGTTATTATTACTGTGTTTCGGAAACCTACAGCGACATCTAGCATTCGCGTGCGGAACTAAACGTAACTTACGATGTATGTTTAGTTCCTTACGATGTATGTTTAGTTCCTTAAGATAGTTACGATAGATAGAGAAGATAGTTAGATACGTTTATTTCCGCACGCTGTCGCAACTGGTGCCATCGCCCTCTTAGTCGTCCCTCTTCTTACGCTTTCTACTTATGTAGAGATACACTGGTCGCTAGTGCGTTTCAGAAACTAACAACGACATCTATCGCCCGCACGTGGAACTAAACTCACCTAACTCCACAGCTGGTGCCATCATCTTCTTCATCCCTCTTCTTCCTCTTCCTCCGGATGTAGAGGTACACCTCAGCAGCCACCAGGGCTGCAGCGGCACCAAGACTCAGGACTACAGCTATCACTAGCGCGTTTCAGAAACTTACAACGACATCTATCGCCCGCAAGTGGAACTAAACTTACCTAACTCCACAGCTGGTGCCATCATCCTCTTCATCCCTCTTCTTCCTCTTCCTCCGGATGTAGAGGTACACCGCCGCGGCCACTAAGGCTGCAGCGGCTCCAAGACTCAGGATAACCACTAGCACTATATCTCGCTTCTTCATCGTGGCCTGGGGACAAGGAAGAAACAGTGGTATTATTTTCTGTGTAAAAGCAAGATTATCTTTATTGAAACCTTGGAACAGGTAAAAAGAAGTAATTGATAAAACCTAGTTGTTTTTTTTACAATGTATTGGGGTTTGAACGCACTCATAGTGTTTGGAAAACTTGAAAAAATTTCCGCCGCAGGCTAGTTTTCAACAGCGATCTTCGCCACAGGCAAACCACAGGTGTGTACTGTTAGCGTCAGCCGGGATTTGAACCCGGGACAGTGGGTTATCATCCCACTGCTCTGCCAACTGAGTTACCGGCGCCTGACCGATCCTAACGAATTTTTCAACCTCTTTATGCTCGTCACGAAGCAAAGATTTCAGCGACATCTTGCACTAGATGTCGGTCAAAGATTAGCAAAATAAGTTTGAAGGTAGTAAGTAGTAGTCACGGCGCAAAAAGCTCGGTTGGTATAGTAATTGTACGGTCCCGGGTTGAAATCCCGACAGACGCTAATATTTTGTCTACTTCTTCATATTCACAAGTGAAAATATAGCACTGTGAGTGCATTAAAATCCCAATAGATGTTCTTCATATTCATTTATTTATAAGGAAAAAGCAGTTATACGGAAATAAGCGTATTTCCTAGGCAATACGCAAATACCCGGAAAATAGCGGAATTTATTGATCTATTTCGTCATCTTACCATATCAGCGGCCTTCTAACCATGTCAGAGGCCTATCCAATCATTTTAGGGGCCTGCCAACTATTTTTTTTTCAGGAACGTGACAGATGGATCAATGCTTTCCACCATTTTCCGGGAATTCGCGTATTGCCTAGGAAATCCGCGAATCACCGGATAACACATATTTCCTTTGACGTAAACAAGGTCAACATCCGTACTAATATTTTTGTTTGTTTCTTCTTCTTTCACGTCTCAAGAAAGCGACTTTATTTTGTGATTTTTTGTTTAGTTTCCCCAGTTCCTGAGATATTTTTATTAAGTTAGGCGCGAGACAAAAGCTTTATGAACTGTAACAAAAAACATGAATCATGAAGATTATTGAGACCTAGAAGAAATACAAGAATAATTTATTTGGCAAATGTCTCTTCTAATAAATAAAAGCAACAAGTGCATTCTTTTGCCAAGTTATTCGGCTGGCATGAACGACAACAGTTTTCCAGCTTATAATAAGCTGTGTAATAAGTTTCAAAGCTACCAGCTATTTCACACTTTGTAATAAAAAAACTCACGCCATTTTCAGAGGCATGTTTTACAAGCAATTTGTGTAAGCATGTCGAAAACCATTAGTTTTGCTTGTACAACACGAAACCATAAACATGAAAAGTTGCTACTAGGTTTGGCTTTAGCGTGAGTTTCATAATATTACAGAAAATAATGCAAATCATAAAAAATAACAACGTTTAACTTCTTTCGCACTTATGATAACAAGTTATGGAAGGCTCCCACCTAATATTTCTCTTTGACGTGATGATCTAATTTCACTGACACTGGCTGAATTGCTTATAGACAAAAGCCATAATCAAAAGAAGAAGAAGACAGCTCCAACGTTTCTGTACTCTGTACTACTTTAGTCTGGCTGGATAGGTTTACAGAAAATAAAGAAAATGAAGCCACGAATTTCATGAAAATGTTGGACAGATTTTGTAATGTAACATGACATTTAAAATACATTATGCATTTTAATAAAATTCTGTTATATTATATCTAACAATTTGGCTTTCGTCCAAAAATCCGCACGATGCACTACGTGAAAGTCCTGCAATTTTATGCAAACTGCTGGTAATTCTTTTATTACTTGGAGTTAAGAGTTTAAAATTGTATACTTTAGTGTAGTTCTGCTTGGTTTTCAGACATTGATTTATGTTCTAGCGACCAGCCCAACGATTTTTCTTATTTACCCGTACCGCGCTTTATAAGTAGATACAACATACTCAAAAAAAAAAACGATTAATATACGGTCGGATAAATGTACGGTCACCAGAGTAATCTGAGACACTGCAGATGACTGAAAATGCGGACAATAAAAATGCCTTTTCTCATTTATAATAAGATACAAAAATACGGTCTTTACTTTACAATAATTTAATTTATAAATTTATTTCCTCTACTATTTAACGATTAGTCTATCGTATATTCTTCTGAAAGAAAAAAAATCAGTTTAACTCAGCGCCATCTGTTTACATTCGCAGCTTGGCTAGAAAATTATATCAAAATACACAACCATTCAAATGCCAGTCACATTTCAAATTTTCGATGTATGAAATGAAGCATCTGCGCTTCATTTTCTTCTTCTCTTTCGAGTGGGATACCAAGTCGTCCAGCGACCCGATGAACTCTGATGTCAGAGTTCTCTAAAAGCCTATTAAGTACAAGAAGCAGGCCTCTGACATGGTTTTGTAATGAATGCCACCTTCGTAATATGTGCTACGTAAGTAAAATATTGTTATTATAGGTATGATAAATAGATACACGTGGTAGTGCAGTATATTTGAAGCATATTTGAAGTGGTATTTCTGAAGTGTTTTGACAATGTCGCCTCGCCTCGCCTTGCTGCAGCTTGACATAATAATATGCTATTCAGGAATGTTTTCTTAGCATAATGTAGGTAATTGACATTTTCAACGATGCGCTACCTCCGTGGATGGGGAAAATATGCGGAAATGTTTAAGCAAGTTTTATGCTTTGTTAGGTATTTTTTCAGTAGAGCAGGAAAAATAATATGCATAGACCAAGCATATATTTATTGTGCCGTTAGGTGCCGGCTTAGAATAGCATCACCCGTATCTTTCCCGTGGGTGTCGTAAGAAGCCTATTTTCCCTAGCCAAAGTAAGGAGCAACGAAAGAATTTGAGAGATGACGTGTATTGCAATTTTAGGTGACAGGCTGACAATCTGTCTTTATGGGAATACACAGCCTTCTGAATGTCTTAAATATTAACAGTTTGGTGTAAATGATCGTTTTACAGCCATTTTCGCTCTGCCTACCCCGCAAGGGATATAGGCGTGATGTTATAAGTACTGTCAACACAGTACAACCAACTGTCAACCATATTATAGAGTCTGGCTAGCGAGTCTTTGGACGTCAAATAATTCAAATATTTCAAATGGCAACATGCTAACACTGATAAACTACAATAAAACAATTTTGATACTTACTATTTTTTGTTTCTTTTAGTTTGTGTTTACCTTGCCTACCGGTATGTATGTATGATGTATCTACCGGGAGTAACAGAAAGGGTATAACAAGCAGAAAGGAGGTCAAGGTACTCATGAAACTGAACAACTTTCCCCATGGAACATGGGACGAAATACGAAAAAAATGGACCTCTCAGAGTAAATCAATCAGCTGATCTGCGATTTTGTATGGGAGGTCCAAATATTTTTTTCATATATCGACCCATGTTTCATGGGGAAAGTTGTTCAGTTTCATGAGTACCTTGACATCCTTTCGGCTTGTTATACCCTTTCTGTTACTCCCGGTAGATACATCATACATACATACCGGTAGGCAAGGTAAACACAAACTAAAGAGCAGAAAACAAAAAAATAGTAAGTATCAAAATTGTTTTATTGTAGTTTTTCAGTGTTAACATGTAAAAGATTTTTAAAATTGGCGCCATTTCCGTGTCCAAAGACTCGCTGGCCAGACTCTATCTACTACATTCTACATTACAGCCGTTCGAATTGGCTATATTTGACACTGTTAAAGGCGTATTTGAACGGTCGTACTTTAAGTGACTGATATTTTGTCGATACTTTGGGACGGCCACTCGCTGCATTTGCCGACGGATGATAGTTGTATGACGCTGATTTTACTACCAAGTGTAATCCATCGGTGAATGCAGCGAGCGGCTATGGTAGGACTCCCTTTCTAAGAAATATTACTAAAAACATACATTTAAGTATAAATCTATCCCTATCGATGTGGAAGAAGAAGATTTTTGAGGGTTCCGCGTTCCCATTGAGTGTGGGTTTATCAAAACGGAACACTTTTTCAATCAATTTCAGTTGAGGCGTGAAAACCATTCGGTCTTTCATTCATTCGTTCTTTTTGTACGACATTAGCCTTTTAGCTTGAAACCTGAGCAAGTAATTCAATTGAATTTGTGCTTTTCCGCTTTCCAACGGTATGCCATTAATCTTGTGAACGAACTAAATAAAATCAGTTAGAATAAGCCGCTTTTCTGCGTTATATTTTAATTTACGTACGTATATCACGCACACCTATATCAATTGCGGGGTAGGCAGGGCGTAAATGGCTGTAAAAAACGGCTATTTACACTAGTCTGACCATAAGTTTGAGAGTCATTGAGAAGTATCACCATAGTGTTAAGTTGTCAGCCTGTCGCCTAAAATTGCAAAGCACATCAACTCTCAAATCTCTTAGTCGCCCCTTACGAAAACATCGGGGAAGATGAGGTGACACACGGAAAGTTACACAGCTTTTTAAAATATGACGAATGACGAAAAAAACATCAAAGTGCCTACTGCACTCACATTCCAACCTGTTTTAACCATGAGTACGTAACCAACCGGAAACCGGAAGTGGGTGGTAATTGCCTCAATTACCCTCTTTTTCAGTAGTCGGTGCGACGCAAAAGAATAAAGTTGTAGGTTGTGTAATGTAGGTACTTTTAGCGGCAGCTTGAGTTTTGCTATAACTGCCTATACTTAGTAAATACGGCTATTTACACCACGTCTGGCAATAGTATGAGTCATTTATCTCTTCTCTTCTCTTCGTGTGGGGCACCGAGTCGTTCAATGACCCGATGAACCCTGGTCTCAGAGTTTTTCAACCGCCTACTGCAAGTAGCATTCCTCTGACATGGTTGTGTAACGACCGCCATCATAGACAACAACCGGGACCGACGGCTTAACGTGCCCATCCGATGCACGGAACCATCTTTCTTTTCGGACAATCAGGTGGTTCAGCCTGCAATATCCTAACCAGACTGGAAACAAATTCACAAAGTGATAAATATCAACTTTGTGAGTGACCCTACCGGGAATTGAACCCGGAACATTTTGCGTGGCGCAGGCAGTCATACTATAAGACTGTATATCACCATAGAGATATTGTTGTCATCCTGCCATCTGAAATACACATCAACTTTCAAATCCGGTAGTTGCTTTTTACGACACCTACTTGAAAGATATGGAGGATACTTATTCTAAGGCACCACACGCTAAGAAAACTGAATGCGGCAAAACACCGGAAAATTATGCGGAGCATACAAGAACTGCCTTTGTTTGCTTAATTGTATGTGTGAGGCATAATTTATAGGCAAGTAAGAACCT